AAGGATGAACAATGATGACAACACCAATGTAAGGAAATATGTAGATCTGGAAATTTGAAACAAAATGATTAAATTACAATTGGATTCGGGTTCCGACCTCACGATAATCAATTTGCAGACTTGAAAAAAACTCAATAGACCTACGATGTTACACACTCAAAAAATTGCCAAATCGGTTACAGAAAAACGAATAAAATTTGAGGGAGAAATAATAGTGAATGTTAAATTTCACAGCAAAACAAAAAAACTGAAGATATACGTCCTGAAAGATACTGAAAACTTAGTAGGTATCGACTGGATGCAGAAATTCAACGTTTGGGACCTACCTATTAACTCGTTTTGCAAAAAGTTAGAGGTTGAACAATCCGACACTATAAAATTGAAGGAGGAATTATACAAGCAATTTCCTGAGGTATTTTCAAGCGGGTTAGAACGATGCAACAAATTTAAGGCCAAAATAGAATTGAAAGAAAACGTCCAACCAATTTTTAGAAGAAAGCGAAATGTCCCGTTTGCAACTATAGAAAAATAGATAAAGAATTGGAGAGACTTGAACAAACTGGGATTCTATCTAGTTTAGTGAGTGGGCTGCGCCGGTGGTTTATGTTAAAAAGAAGTCGGGAGAAATTCGCGTATGCGCAGATTTTTCGACAGGACTCAACAAGGCAATAAAGGACCACCATTACCCCCTACCGAGCCCAGAGGAGATATTTACAAAGCTCAACGGCGGTAAGATATTCTCAAAAATAGATCTTAGTGAGGCTTATCTACAAATCCCATTACAAGAAGAGAGTACGAAAATCCTTAATCATTAATACGCACAAAGAGTTGTACAAGTTCAACAGACTACCATTCGGAATAAAAGTTGCACCTGCAATTTTTCAGCAAACAATGGGCACAATGCTCACAGGCCAGAATTTCGCGACCGCTTATCTGGATGATATTCTAATTAAGAGCGACAATGTTGAAGAGCACACATCACACATAAAAGAAGTTTTTAGAAGACTTCAGGACTTCGGTTTTAAAATAAAAGGAGAAAAGTGTGATTTCTTCCTAAATGAAATAAAATATTTAGGTCAAATGATAAATGAAAATGGCAGGAAACCAGACCCAGAGAGGGCATCGGCAATTAAAAATATGCGGGAACCAAAAAATATTGCAGAACTGCAAAGTTTCCTGGGCCTAGCTAATAACTATGGCGAATTCATTGAGAATATGCATAAACTGAGGGCTCCATTAAATGAGTTACTAAAAAAGGAGCATAACTGGAATTGGACAGAGGACTGTAAAAAAGTGTTCAAAGAAATAATACAGAAATTAACGTCAGAGTTAACACTGACACATTTTAATCCCGAACTCGAAATAATTATTGCAAGTGACGCGAGCTCACATGGGGTAGGTGCGTGTATTTTACACAAGATGCCGAACGGTACAAACAAACCCGAACGGTACAAACAAACACGCATCTAGATCATTATTACCGGCGGAAAGAAATTATTCACAGATTGAAAAGGAGGCATTAGGCATAATTTTTGCAGTAACGCGTTTTCATAGATATATATATGGGAGAGAGTTCACACTTCAAACGGACCACAAACCACTCCTTACGATATTTGGTTTGAAAAAAGGCCTACCAGTCTACACAGCGAACAGACTTTTAAGATGGGGAACTGTGTTACTGAACTATAATTTTAAACTGCAATTCTTACCATCAAAGAAAATCGGACATGCTGACGGACTATCGCGATTAATACCTACAAAAAGCGAACCGTTAGAAGAGTCGGTAATTGCCGCATTACAAGCGGAAGATGAAATCAGCAAAGTACTAGGCAATACAATAAAGGAACTACCTGTAACGCTGCTAGAAATAAGACGAGAGGCAGAAAGAGGCGACTTTATTCAGGAGACCAAGAAAATAATAGAAGACAAAATGAAGAATTTAGCAGACAGTTTTTCAAGCTGTGACAACATATTGTTGTATAATGAGAGAGTTGTAATACCAAAATCACTACGAAGAAGGATCTTAAAAGATTTTCACTTAGGACACCCGGGAAAAAACCGGATGAAATCATTCATGAGGAGTTTTGTATACTGGCCGAATATGGACGATGATATCACGCAGATGGTGGAAAGTTGCAAAGGTTGTACTGCTGTGGCGAAGGCACCAACCTCTATACAAAAGCCATGGCCTAAAGTCGACAGACCGTGGTCCAGAATACACGTGGATTACGCAGGACCCATTGAAGGTTATTATTACCTAATAGCAATAGACAGTTTTAGCAAATGGCCTGAGGTTGCCAGATTCAAGCACCCAACAACAGAAAACACCATAAATTGTTTAATTGAACTATTTGCTAGATTTGGTGTCGCAGACTGCGTAGTAGGCGATAATGACACACAGTTTACATCCAGCGATTTTAAAGAATTTTGCGAGATGTACCAAGTAAAACATATTAGGATAGCGCCATACCATCCCAGGTCCAATGGACAAGCCGAGAGATTTGTCGACACTATGAAAAGAGCACTAAAAAAAAGCTGAGGACATACCAACGACAAAAGCTCTACAGCAATTTCTACAAGTATATAGGATAACACCCAACGCAAACACACCATCGGAATTAATGTTGGCGCGGAAAATAAGATCGGTGTTTGATAAACTATTACCGAGCAAAAGCAAAGATCAATATACACCGATGGTACCAAAGAGATCATTCAAACCTGGAGAACGGGTTTATTTCAAAAATTTTAGAAACAATATGTGGTACTGGGAGCCGAGTACAGTAATCAATAGAATCAGAATACTAATGTATACCATAAAAGGCGAAAAGTTCACACACAGAAGACATATCGACCAGCTACAGAAAAGACGAATTGAGGAACCAAGCTCGTTATCCGCAGAAGATGACTGTTTTTGAAACATGATAGTTCCTCTGTAGCGATGGCACCATATTTTAGATCGGTTAATTTATAATATTTCTCCTCTGTAAATTTGCATTGAGCACAATTTTGTAAAATAAAAATATTAATAAGTGTTATGGGGTCCACCCTTTTCGGATATAATGGACTCGTCCTGCTGCCATAAAATAGCCACAGTCAAACAGAGAAGATGAGTCGTACCGAGTGAAGTAACCTCTTGTAGAAGTCAGTTACAAGCACGTAGACTCTAAGGAAGTCCTACTTCGAGACTGTATATATCTATCTGTATTTGCTACTAACCGGTGTTCCTGGATTTTACTAACAGCATTACCTTTTGTATTTTGTGTAAATACATTTAATTTCTTAGCTTAAATACTTGCGTTTGTCATTTATTGGATACCTATTTTTCACGCGGGATCCACAACAATAAGAATACCGGATTATCTATCTTACTATTCTGCCTTTTATTATAATATATATATACATATATATGTGTGTGGGGGGGATAATGATGTATAAATGGTTATCTAAATTTTTATATATTAATAAGAGTTTTGAATGAAAAGATGTATGACAAATTGTAAAAAGTTTTGTGACGTTTCATCCTTTAAAACTTCATTGGACGGCGCTGTTTTTTTTTGTTACATTTGATGTGACTACACCTGCGCACGAACGAAAAATGTTGTGAATTTCAATATTTTGAATTTTTTTTTTCCAATCTATTAACTCCACAGATTCCCTAAAAAATAAGCATACCATGATGAAAAATGGCACAAAGTTAATGAAAGCAATCTATATCAATCTGTCCTTATCTATCTATCTATCTATCTATCTCAGCATGTTCCTATCTATCCATCTAACCATAATCTCAAAATAGATTTCAACTAAATTGTTAAACGCACTGAAGACTGTCATCTTTATTTGTTTGTACAGAGTTACCTCAATGAGTTCGTTGCCAAACAAAGAAAACAATATTACACAATAAAACTCTCTATTTTCAACATTGCCAACACACTGGAAAACATACCATTTTCCATAACCATGATGATCCAACATTACACGATGAAATTTTCAGCTCAAAATGTCTGTATCGGGCTACGGATTTATTGACCCCATCTCGTATTTCAAAGACCTACCTCGTAAGCTGATATTCTTCGTTCTTCAGAAAATGTTGCTTATTTTACAATTCGATAGGCGACAAACATTCAACATTTTATAGAAATTATAATAGATTTTCATCGATAAATATTATTTTGACAGATCGATTCATCATTTTAGTTGTAAGCTGACGGCTTTCATTTCGGGCAGAGATTCAAACAGTTGCTTGTCATCTAATGCCTGCTGAGATCACTTCCGCTTCCTCTCTAGGTGTGTGTGTGTGCACGTGTGTATGTGTGTTGTGTGCGCAGTCGTGAGTGAGAGAGGGAGAGTGATTCAAAAATCAATTGCGAGCGAATAAGATTAATACGCATTAAAAATAGATAAGGGAGAGGTAAAGAAGAATACACAGGGATAGAAAGCAAACAAGAAAGAGAAAATGAAAGAGAGAGGGTTAAGTCTATCTCTAGAGGGAGGTGGAGAGAGCGAAAAGAAATATTGAAGACACGGGAGTATTGTGATAACAGAAAGAGCGTCAAAAGATGTGCTAATTTTAAAAACTTTGGAGATCTTGCCCCCTCTCTCTCTCTATCTCTCTCTCTCTCTCTATCTCTCTCTCTCTCTCTCACACACACACACACACACACACACACATATACACCCATTTTCTCTCTCTTATTTTCAACTTCTTTGTATTTCTTTTTTTGTCACTTTTTCAGTCTCACTCAGACTCTCTCTTCATTTCTCTTTCTCTTTTGTTTCTCACTTTTCTTCTCTCTTTTTTCTTCTCTTTTTCGGTCTCTTCTTCTCTTTTTCTTTGCTTTTCACTATTCTCTCTCTCTTTTTCTCCCTCTATCTTTCGCCGTTTCTCTTTCTCTTTGCCTCTTCCATTGTTATTTTTCTTTCTTTGTTTCTTTTTCTATCGCTTTCTCAGTATTTCTTTATTTTTCTTTTTTACTCTCTGGATTTCTCTTTCTAATCAAGGCTTATGGCCACATCACGTTGAAACACCGGTTTCTGTACGACCAACGAAGTTAAGCAACATCGTCTGGTCAGTATCTAGATAGGTGACCACTTGGGAAAACCAGGTGCTGCAAGCTTAACAGTGTGGTTGGTGTAGTGGATAATGGCTCGGAATTTTTAATCGGAGAGCCGAGTTCCAGTTGGGTTCGTTATACTTAGTTACGCACAAATACCCTTGGCAAAGGCATGAATCCATCTTTTCTACACCCCAGCTATTGGTTAATTATTAAGACTTGTATCATTAAATTCTTATTATCTCACAAAATACAAGATTCTTACAATCTAAAATATTTTCTGACTTTAAATAACCTGTAAAAAATCCGTAGAAAGCAAATGAGTCAATCAATGAAATAGTGATTAGCTACACAGTCATGTCTTTTACATTTATTTACATTCTCTGGAATAAAAATTGATTCAAACTTACGTAACCACAAAAGAGATCAGTTTATATATTGATTGTAATATAGAATTGATCCCCCACTTAATATCCACATTATAATTTCTTGTTTGTTTATCAAATGCTGATTAGGCATGAATCCAGTTGTTCTCTCCTCAGCTATGGATTAATTTTATCACTAAATCATTATCATCCCCCCCACCCAAAAAAGAAATTCTTACAATCTAAAAATATTTTCTAGCTTTAAATATCCTGCAAATGGTTGATAATCTGTAGAAAATGAATCAATCAAACAATCTTTCTAACCAATTCATCTTTTTTTTTCTCTTCCACTATCATTTCTGTCTCTCATGTTTCACTCACATGTGAGGGTGGAGATGGTAACATTAGAGTCGACAAACTTCTGTTTACAATCAGAAAAAAAGTCCGCTGAAATTCCTTAGACACATACTGTGGAAAGAAGGCTTGAAGAATTGAACACCCACAAAGCAAGAGAAATAGAGAAACAGTGGATAAATGGATGACAAGACAAAGACAAAGAGAGATGATAAAGAGGCAAAGTTATTTAGAGCAACAAAAGACAGGAAGTTGTGGAGAGCCATAAACAGACAGAGCATACAAAAGAAAGTAAGGCTTCTACTCTCTTAGTTCTTCTTTTTTTATTTTTTATTAATGTTGTCATTGCATCAACAGGTTATTTTCCGTTTGTCTTCAGTTTTCTAGTTTGAATCTTTCAAATCTGTAATAATTTTATTTGTTACGACTACAAACAGGAATATTTCATATTTTTCTTCTAATTAATCAACTAATTGTAAATCATAATTTTGCAGTGGCTTTTAAATTTCTCCTCACAGACATTCTTCTTTTTCTACCGTTGTATATTTGTTTTGCAAACAACTGCTTTCCACCTTTATTTAATCTTTATTTTTCTCTTTTTTTCTTCTCTTTAAAATGTTATCCGTTTCCATTTTAATCATTAATATATATATATATATATATATATATATATATATATATATATATATATATATATATATATATATATATATAATCATCAAACAGTTTCTACTGAGGTGTTCATGAAGAGTCACTTCCGCTTACATTGAACTCATTTTATCTGCGTTTATTGGCAATATCCCGAAAGGCCAAGAGACAGGAAGTGCTGGCTATGGACGGTTGCAACAAGAATAACAGGATCAGTATGGTTGCAAAAGAGAGCAAAATATGATTTGATTTATAATCTGGACCAACTCTTGGTCTACTGCTTTGGTTCTTTTTTTATTCATAATTTTTTATCACAACTGATTCAGATATTAAAACAAGGAGGTCATGTCATATGCTATAGGAAATATCAATGTTGAGTCAGATTTTATGAATCTATGTGACCTTTAGATGTTTCATGAACATGCATCATTATCTTTTAGTAAATAGCTTTCTTTTTATCCTTCATACCAACACAAACCTTTTGATTAAAAACTGAGCACGGGAACATCACATGATGTTCAAACAAAAATGGCTCAATTTATGTGACTTTTTTTACATGTTTACATACCGTTAAACTCCTATTGATCAATCAATGTCCGTTGGTTAAATGCGCGTCTATTTGACCACAGAAGAAAAAAGAAAATAAAAAGACCAAAAAGAAATTTTCCAAGCGAATAGTTCGTATTTTAATGCACTTTTATTAGTATTTATATTTATAGATATGTCTGCATCCAAATCCACGTATTCCACTGTGAAATAAAACTGAAAACTTACGAACGTTTCTTACTGTTATAAAGAAACCTTGCCGAAAACTTAATATATTCCCGCTTCGGAAATAATACTAAAATGCTTGTTCACATTAGAAAGTACATATATAGTCATATATAACAACAGTTAACCGTGCTAACCATCGCATCAAAGAAAATGCATTTTATTAGTAAGCATTGATTGGTACGGAAGACAGACACAAATATGGGTCACTCAGTAGTAACGGCTGACATTTGGTAAATTGAAAATTGTTAAGTGATATCTCGGAGTAATTTTTCGCATTTGAATGGCGAAGAAACTTTAAAAATACGGACGGAAAACTTTGGATAATTAACTAGCATACATTTCCTTCATTAAGACCAGAGTTTCTCTTGATTTGGAATTGACTAAGGCCTAGATTAAGTTACAAAGGTCACACAGTGAGGAACAAATTCATTTTTAAGATAAAAGGTTGATCAGACTCGCAAGCTGTGATCCCATGTAGCATGAAAACAAGTTTATTAGCCTTGTGTACAAGATGATGTCGTACTTATTCTCAATAGCAATGATTAATCTGACCACATTGTAAATCATTACAATACCCTGAAAATCCAACATTTAATAAGATAAGTTTGGCACAAGGTTACAAGTATGGAGCACCAAATATCGTACAAATTCACTACTTATTAGTAATGGTCAAACAGCAGTTACCCCACGTTGAGGGTGACCACAAATTATTTACTAAAGTTACCTTAGTTTTGTACAAGGCCACAAATGTAGGATATCCAACAATGCTCGAATTCACTTCCCAGTAGTAATAGTCAACTAGAATAGACGTTATTAACCATTACTCTGCGACAAGATGTCATAAAATGATTTTCTATGCTTAGCTTATTTTGGCACATTGACAAAAACGAAAGGTACCTAGTGAGTAGACCTAAATAATGATTCAATAGTCAAAGTTAACAAGCTTACATCGAAGTGAACTAAAATAATTTGCTAAATTTAGCTCAGTTTGGAAGACGGAAGCAACTGTGGGTAACCCAATGAGAATTGAAGTCATTAATCATAACTAACGGTCAGCCAGACTAGTTGGCTAGACATTATGCCTCTCTGAAGTGATCTAAAATTATTTACTAAGCTTATCAGAGTTTGGTTTAAGGGTACACGCATATAGCACCCAGTGAGAATCTAACTCACTACTTAGTTGTAATGGTTAACCTGATTAGCTTGGTAACTAGGTTATTTTGGAAGCCTGGTATTGCACTCAGTTTGAAAGCTGGAGTTTGACAGGATTAATAAAAAGACAAAAGAATTTTGTCAAATCGTTACCGTTTTTTTAGGAAACGAGTTTAAAGATTAAGTTTAGATTCAAAATCGTAGCGTGGAAATTTCATTCCAGTGATTAGTGAAAGCCGTATAACACGGCTATATACGATTTATAGTTTAAAGCAGTATTTATGATTTTATATACACTTTTATCTAATTTTTGTTTTTATTCATTATGATCTAACACATCTTATTCCTTGAGTAGCCTTTTTTGTAACGTTTGACAATTTTTACACAGTTTTTACTTATCGAAGATAGTAAAAAAATGCATATTTTGCTTTGTGCTGATTAATTAACATTCTGATTTGAATTTTATTTTCCATTCAATGCATCGAATACAAGATATCAAATTTATTTGGATTTATTCTTTAAATAATAAAATTTTGCAGTCAGTTTTTAAGTAAAAACCTGCGGAATTTAGGTATTTTTGGACATTTCTGACGATCTTTAAAACTAAATGCTAAAAGTTTGTTAAAAGCTATGAATATGATTTTTGGTTTCACTACTAATTACATATAACCCCAACTTTCACACCGAGTAAAATTTTGATTCTTCTAAAAAAGGTGGTAAATCAACCTCTGGCCTATTGCTTGCGTGGTCCTTGTTATTATTTATTAAATTTAATTATAATAAAATGTCGTAAATATTACTTTAGTATAATTTCCCCTTGAAGTAAATGAAAGTGTTATTTTATGGCACAATGATTTAGCAATAATGTTCTTGTTCCATGCATCTTGTCCATATACTTCATGAAATTTTAAATTTTATAAGACTGTAAAGGATTTTCCTGATTAACGGAACGAAAATCTAACGCTACAATTTTGAACCTAAACTTAATCTTTAAACTCATTTACACAAAAAAACGATAATTTGTCTCATTATTTATTATGTCAAACTCCAAATTTTAAATTGAGTGCAATACCACGGTTCCAAATTAAACCTACCCTATTGTCACAAGTTCGTGTCCAGTCAGATGAGATTTTCCTAGTTCTTCTTCCCCATTTTGCCCAATAAAGATCAGCTGTCTATTATACTGTAGGACATTTCCGTTGCCTCTAGTTACTGTTCTCATCCGTGGGGACATTGTCCAGCATTCACTAACATTTAAGAGGACGGATACCACATAGCAATTCAACACTCTTTTCTTTGTTTCTAACGAACTGTTTCCCTTTCTCAACACTTTGCTTAGATTTTCTTAAAATCTTCCTGATTCTATGTCCAAGTAATTCCAACTTTCTTTTCCTGGTTCTGACTTTCTGTTACCATTTTCTTTAAGACTTATTTGTTTGCAGTGCTTTCGTTAGTTCAATGCTTGTTTGCTTCTCGATTTCTCATTTTCCATCCTCTGATAAAACGCTTCCCAGATATTTGAACTTTTTCACCAGATTGATGTTTATATCTCCAATTCATAGAGGGCCTCGATGAGTTGTAACGCTTAGTAAGCTTGTCTAGATCAATTATGACTGTGTGGTGACTTAATTCCTCAATCGGTGCTCCTTACTTTCGACCTTGTGCCACAGGTACGCTTAGTAAATTGCTATACATGTTTCTGACTAAATCTTTTTGTTCCTCAGCACTTTGCTTAGTTTTTGGAAGGCATCTTTTGCGCGTCCAATGC